ACCCCGATCGTCGGCCCTCCATCACTCAAAAGGATTTTTGTCCCAAGGTTGGAGGAGGACACCTGTTTTCCCAATGGCCAGTCGCCGACGATCGTGAGGTCAGTCGACAGATCAACAGTGGAGCCCATTCTCATCGCCAAGTTGTGGTGGGTCATCAGTTTTTCTTTAACAATACTCTTACCTTCAGATTTATTTGTTTTAACTGTAAAGCTTATATTTTCAGCTTGAAAGAAGGAGGAAACTGACAGTGGATTGAGGTGTTTATGCRTATGGGTTTGAACCATGCAGTAGTTTTGTTTTGACCAGTGTCTGTGTTTATTGTAGCTAAATGTAGGCAGCTAATTCATAGGTTTCATTGCACTCACCTCCGATTCTTTGATCAAGGCACCCACGTCTTCTCCCAGGTGATCAATGAGACATCGGATGACGACTTCTCTCGTTTTCTCAACAGGATTTCCACTCTGTTCAATAAAGTAAATGTATTGTAATGATGACAAGATACAGTAGTCACTCTCCTCATTGCATTTTGGCACTTTTACTTTTAATAACAGCAGCTTTGGATGTGAAGAAACAAAAACCGTGAATTAGTAAAAAATTTGCTTTGCTCTGGCAGCCATCTTCAATGTGATTGACTCCAAACGTTAATCAGTTGAAGAGGTAAACTTAAAGATTACTTTCTGAAAGTTTTATTATCAGTCCAGTGGTTCATGAGATATTTTGCTAATAGACAAACAGATGCAAGCAAACAAGGCCAAAAATCTTATGTAAATCACAGGAAAATACCAAAAAGACTAAGCAGTGAGCAAGAAATGAGATTATCGTCAAATCTGATGGCATGTAAAACTAAGTCCCAATAGTCATTGAGTCATTCCRTTACCGACATCAGTGGTGCTTTTATTTATTATTTTACCCACTCAAACTCACTTTATTACAGCCAATGTTCCTCAGAGGGAAACACAGAAGCRTTACTGTAAGACAGCCAATGTATTCTGTGTGTGGAYGGCATTAAAGAGACACTCAACTGACAGCATTATTGGAAGCAAACAATAGACCCACATAATGCTGTGGGATGAAAGTGGCCACTGTTCGACGGGACAAAGCCAGCATTCCACACAGATCTGGAGGCTTCCCGGCTCTCCCATGTGATGAGGCGTAATGTCGCGCTTACAACCGTGTAAACTTGGCCGAATGTGGCGTCAATGAAGCCTACCAGTGCGACAGTCTGGCATCTCCCACACCTTTCTGCCCACTTTTCATTGACTCAGACTCAGCTGCTTAGACAAGTCACTGAGTTTTTATGTTGGTGGCTGGAACACGATTCGGGGTCGTCATTCATGAAAACAAAACAAAGTTTGAGAAGAACAATCACAATGGGAATTGGGAMTTTGCATTTGGTTTCAAAGCTTGCGTATTTTCAGAATGTTACAGGAATCAATTTGCGCACAGTAAATGACAACACAAGTTCACATTCACACACCAGCCTACACAAAAAAAGGGGACATATGATACAAAATCCACCTTTTTAGCCATTTGGTGTATTTTTTGTTTGGGCCTGTTTGGGTCCTATTTTTCAACCCGTTCAGTTTTCTTTTCTTTTTTTTTCACGACGTTTTCTGAACTATTACATTGCAGTGTTTGTTGAAACATAAATAAGGTCTGAACTTACCAATTAACCAATTTCATTRATTTTCTTCTCCTCTGGCTCTRGGTCAGACTCTGGATCCAACATAAAACTGGATGGACAAGTCTTCCCTTGTTGATCTTTTAATTAACTAGACTTTAGGCTCAGACTGCTGGAGGACAAACTGTTCACACTCTGAGCCTACAGCAGTACAGTGAGCACAAGTGGACAGTTTGTCCTCCAGCAGTCTGAGCCTAGCAGCAGAGTGAGGACAACTTTATATTCAAGGAAGAGTTCATGATTTTGAAGTAGTATTTTTCCCATCTTGAGCTGTAAAAAGTAACACCTTCAGTAAAAATTAGTGACATCTAAATCTGTGAATTAACTATTTTATTTTGTTTTCATGTGCAACTATTCCATTGTCTAATGTTTTCCATTTCTTTGCCTGTTCCTAAAGGCAAATGCATCCAACTCCCTTTATTTCCTGCCATTGTTCTGTTCGTACACAATCACACGTGAGGAAGCTGTCATTGCTGCAGACGCAGCAAAAACTGGATTCAGCTTTTCACACCATGACACACAATGAGCAGTAGTTTGAAAAAAAAAAAAAAAGGTTTTCCAGGCATATAATCCCCTCGTGCAGTGGCTATAATTATGCTCCTCTAAAAACCGAGTTTACTGTCTTGGTGTTTCCAAATGACAGAGTTGAAGGAGGCTTAAAGAACAAAATGCTGGTTACACGGGAAGGGGGAAAGAACACATTAGCTATAGTCACCTTTCATTTACTTTTACTTTTGTCTTGTTGGGGCTTCTACTGCTATAAACCCTCAAATATCTCAGTTAGTTATGTGATATTTTCAGACTTTTTGAAAAATGAATCACATGTTTCAAAGTTTGATCAGGCTGCTTCCTGAAAGTGTTGTGGCTGGAGAGGGCAGTCTGAACATGACCTGAACAGGAATGGAGTAATGAATTAGGGAAATGCTCATGTTGGCTTTGGTTAAAATAAGTGTTTAAGTCTGCATTTTTTTGGTCTTAAAGWCATTTAAAGCAATAGATATTAAAAAAAAACACATATCAGATAACTAATTCAATTTTTAACTCAATCGTTAGGCACTGTGCACTTAAAATGTTGGCTAGTTAACTAGTTATACCAGATTTACTCACACTAGTTTGACTAATTTGGCCTCACTACCTATGCCAAAATTGGTTACGTCTATTAAATTACTGCATATAAAAATATGTTTTTTTGTTTAATTTAGTTGCTTACAAGTTAACTAGTCAACATTTTAGGTAATTGACTATTTGACATTTTTAAGCACACTTGTCAACATTTTAGAATTTACTAATAAATATTTTTAAGTCACACTTGTCGCTTGGCACGGTGGCTCAGTTGGTAGAGCTGTTGCTTCTAAGCAAGAAAGTTGCCAGTTTGAATCCTGGGTATTTTGAATGTTCTCTCTGTGCACGTGTGAGTTTTCTCTGGGCCCTCCGGGTTTCCACGGACAAAAAACATGACTGCTAGGCTAACTGGTAACAATTTTAACTATGCTGTTGAACATATTTTAAACTTGTAAATATGTAAATAATAATTCTGCTCATAAATGTAAACAACCACTGTGATGGACCAGGGTGCACCTCGTCCCTCAACAGAGACTACTTGATATGAGCACCTGTGACCCAGGAAGAAGCAGAATTGTAAAGTAACTAAGTACAAATACTTTGTTACTGTACTTAAGTAGAAATTTACTTGAGTAATTATTTTTCAGTGTACTTTTTACTTTTACTCCTTACATTTTTACACAATTATCGGTACTTTCTTTTCTACTCCTTACATTTATTAAAAGGTAAAAAAAATAGAAAGTCATTACTCCTATTTTATTCCAGGTTGTTATTATTGAAAAAAAATACTATCCTGATAAATTGTGCTTTCAGGATAGACTGAATTTAAATGAGGTTCGATGAGAAGTATAAATACCATTCTGACACTATGTTGCTTTGCACACAACCCATCACAGCTGCACGCCGTTAGAAAAAAAATTTTTTTGGAGAAGTCACCTCCCAATAAATGTCATTTAGGAAAATCTTAATCGCTCTCTTTTACTCAATACTTTTACTTTTAATACTTAAGTAGATTTTGTGTCAGAAATTTACTTTTGATACTTAAGTGCAAAAAATATCAGATACTTTAAGACTTTTAATCAAGTAATATTCTTAGAAAAGACTTTAACTTTTTACCAAAGTATTGATAAGATACTTGTACTTTTACTCAAGTATCACTTCGAGGTACTTTATACCAGTGTTTCCCAAAGTTGGGGTCGGCACCCAAAGTGGGGTCCCGAAACATCAAGTTGGGGTCCTGAAAAGATTTTCTGAATTAATTACATTTTTGCCTTAGTTGTTACAAAGGAGTGAGGTTAGTATATTTAAAATGGRTAAATGTAGTATAAAAATATTGTTACTATGCCCATGTTTTGTTGACCTGAAACAAATGTTTATCATACAAAAATAGCTGGGGGCTCAGGTCTCTGCTACTGTTATTTTCTGGGTCAAAAGCTGAAAACTTTGGGAACCACTGCACTTTGGTTCCCAAAGTTGGGTTTGGGACCCAATTATGGGTCATGAAGCATCTTGGATAATCTCCATAAATAAATTTAAAGGGTAATAAAGTAATTGCTGATGTAATATTTTCCATATAATTATTACAAAAACACAAAATAAGTATAAATAAGTATTTACATTTGTGTACAAGCCGTTTAGATTGTCAAAAAGCCTGTGTTTTTAGGGTTATTAACAAAGTTCATGTACTCAGACCGGTAATATTTGGGGTCACAAGTTTTCGCCATGGATAGCTTGAAGATAAAAAGTTTGGGAACCACTGGTTTATACAACACTGGGAAGAAGTGGATACAGATCATGGATAATTGACAAATGTCCACATTAGTCGGCTGATAGGCATAGTTGTATCTAGTTATGTAGGGGGTTTTGACGCTTATAAATTAAATTGTACCACGCATTTATCTATGGAAGCGAAGATGTAATGAATGAATACAAACCCAGCATTCCATACACTTTAGGTGATTTTCGTCAGGCATGCGCAGGGGCAGCCCAGGAAAAAAGTGGGTGGTGTCGCTGCATGAAGAGGTGCAGAACCACTCGCCACGGCTTCTCCCAGTGTGTCCAACGTGATGACAGCTGATTGTACGGAGACACACAACCACCCAGGTCCGTCGTGGCACTTTCTACTGTCAACATGCCGACTTTACCGTCCCGCTAAAGCCTCGCAGGTATTTCGGGAAGCTTTGAAAAGTCGCGGGACGCCTACTAGCTGCTCTAAAGTTAAATCGCCGAAGGAAGCAACTTCGCCAAAAAAACAAAACACAATCTCTGAAGAAGTTGGATATCGAGTCAGACTGGATCCAACGGCCCGATCCTGTAATTTCAACAGGCTATACAACTATTTTATAGGTAAGGAAAACTTTAATATTTAAGCTACACTCGTCAAATCGTTCCCATTTGGGATGAAGGGTGTCGCAGCTTCTCCTGTTTGCTGAACCTGAGGTGCTGTTTCTAAACTCTTGCCTTAACTGGAGATTGCAGTCTTGCTTCGTCTTTTTTAGACTTGATTAATCCTCCACGATCAGGCTCCACGAGCAGGGCAGTGTCAGTGTGAATACACAACTGAGCAGCGGCGTGAGGTGAATGGCTGATAATGGTGAACACAAGTGGGCTGCACAGAGTGATCCCCCCCTGCTGCATGTCAGCTGTGGCCTCTGCTGTCAGTTGTTCCATCATCATGTGAGACAAACACAGCCCTGTTCCTGGCCTTTAACTCTAACTATACCTGCCAAACACTCAGCTTTACTCTTGGACAGGTTTTGTTTTATTTTATTTTATTTAACTTAATAGACTGAGAAACTGTGGTGGACAGTTTCATATTATCCCCTTAAAATAAGACCAATCCACATTAAGATTACCTGTGAACTAAGGGGTTTAAAATTAAAATCTTAGACCCAACCAAGTGGTTTACAACTTAGTCAAGTTTGTAAAAAAAAGTATAATGTAAATCTAATTGAGTTATAAAGCTTTTATGACACATGCAATAACTTTATGCATTAAATAGGAATAAATAACTATGCAAGAACTGCCTGACTTAAAAACCTGTGGACAATACATAAGAATGCATGCTCATTGTTTATGAAAGAATGCAGTTTTAACTTTAGTTAAATAATACTTTAAAATCTCAGCATAGAATAGGATGAAATGATGTCCAGAATGAATTCAAATAGTCTTAAAAAAGGAATAAACAATACAAAAACAGTTATATAAGTCAAGCTATGTCACTTCCTGTCTAAGTAAAAGAAAAAAAATCAAGTTGAATAGTAATTAAAAAATGTTAATATTAGGCTAAAATTTAATAATGTGCTGCTGTTCAATAAACCGAGTCTTAATAATCCAACATTTAACAGTCTTGTTCATAAAGATTTCAAAGTAAAAAAGGTGTAGATAGTAAAATACTGTCATAACATGAACAACATACATAACATAGCTAACGTTCAAGTTATTGTTTAGACTCTTTAAAGTGGGGTTCTGTGAAAATATGAATAATTAGTGTATCTTGTAGTAATTTAAAATTACTTCAGTTTGGAGAAGTAGTTTAGCATTTTTAAAAAACAGCTTGAAAACGTTTCAGTTATCGCACAGCGCACCTCGCTTTGCTGTAGTTCACTCTGTTAAATGTGCTAAATTGCATTCAAATGTGTTGGATTGATTTCATTGGTTCGCTGTGTGAACCAGACTGTTTCTAATCTTGTGTTTGAGGTGATGGCCCGCCTTCAAACCACCCACATGGGTCTACTGCAGAGTTAGCATTACAGTGTGGTCAGAGACAGACAGAAAAGGCTTTGTAGTTTCTTTCCACGTGCAAAGATCCCGTCCGTAATATTTACTGTATGCGACAAAAGCTTTTTGTGAAGCAGAGCTGTACAAGTCTATATAACTTTAGGCTGATAGCAGCTTCCTGGGGGTCAAACCACTAATCAAATGAGACTCTTTTTCTCTGCTGTTTCACTGTTTTAGGTTAGTTTCGTTTTTTTTTACCCCACAAAAGTGTCCTTTCCTCTGAATTATTTAACACTTCAACCCGGTGTCATATTTCTACATGTGCTTTGAAGGAAATTTGAGATGTTTGCAAATTACCTGTCACAACCAAGGAATTGTGCAGCAACACATAGCTTATTATCACTGCATTATGAGCTTTAACCAACCAAAGATTATAGCATTCCTTTGATAAAAAGTAATATGAATAAGATTAGAAAACTTTCTTTAGTGACCCAGTTCTGCAATATGCTGTCATCTCACTGAGGAGTTAATCCTCAGAACTGAAAAGGGACAGCAGTCTTTACAAGCTGTTGGCGGTTTCAACGTGAGCAAACTTCAGTCAGCAAATAAGAAAAAGGCAGGACAATTTAAATGATTTCAAATGAGGGTGAAATGATTCAGGGTTTTTTTTTTTCGAGTCTGTAATCGGAGGCTGCAAATAAAGAAGTGACTCATTCAGCAAGAGTGTATTTTAAAATCAGGAAGTTAACCCTCTTCCACTGTAGATTTTTGACTGGGTGATTAGGATTTTAAAAATGTTCACACTTGTTGAAATGACAGAGAATCATTAGTTATGCAGTATGGGGTGTTTTTTTAGATTAAACCTTAAAGCTGAACTGGGACACAATGGGTACTGAGATGGACTGAAGACAGACTAAACAAAGCAACCAGACTCAATGATTAACTTGGTTTCTAAGAACACATTGACATTTGGAAAACACTCCAATGGTTTTGAAGTTTAAGACACTGTATAGATTCTGGCAGACATACACTGCTTTTATTTTTTACAGATAGGARATGAACTCACTGGTGTTTTGTCATTAGAATCCCTGTAGAGGTTTTCTGTAACATTTATGACCTTTGCTGCCAAAAGGAGCCACACTGAGGAATCTTTTATTATCGAGTTATTATTTTCACATTTTAAAAGCTTCAAAATGACACGTAGTTTGCTTACATTTAGAGATTTTTATTTGCTGGGGAGATGTCGTCGTAATCACTTTACCAAATTGTTCAAGCCATTGTTATTTTATGTTGAAAGTCTAAACAGGGCTTATGTTTGGAAATGATTAAAGTGTTGCTGATGCAAAATGGCCATCTGTAATGAATCCTTTCCTTCCAGCTTCATGTTTTGAGTTTCTTGTGTTTATGAGATCTGAATCACTGTTGAGATGATTGTTGTTATGCTGCAGAGCATAGCTTCAGGAAAATCACTTCCTCTGTTTTATAAGGCATTTCTAATTACAGTTTATACTGTATTAACAATGATATATGTGTTACTTTAATAAATGAAAGGCCTTTTAATTTAATAATGTACCTTAGTCATGTTTGTTCTTTGTACTTGGAAAAAACAAATATTTTTGGTGACTGGCTCCTCAGTGTTTTGGCAGTACTTTGCTGAAATGCTGAACAGATTTTTCTGAGTGTCCACTGAGGTGGTTCACAAATGTGTCAGCAGCATTTTGAAGCCCTCATTGAAAAATCTCCCCATGGCATGTTGTCTTGTCATTCTGTAATGTCCTCTTTCACCACGAGTTGTCTAAATGTTTGAGATTTACTGGTGAGGAAAATGTTTCCACAGAAAATACCTCAAATTTTACCCAAATTTTCTGATGATGTTTCTGCAGTTCTGCCGTGAGCCCATCTGTTGTGTAACAGCTCATGTGCAAACTATTAAGGCTTGGGATGTATTTTAAGGGTGCGGCACATCCTTGGGCACCTCTGGGGTCCTCTCAGGGAAAACCTTCTTCCATCCAAACAAAATCTTTGTATCCATGACAATACAGCTTCTGCCTTCTGGCAAACGTCTGAGCTGTTCCTTTCTCTGTAGAAATGTTTATGCAAAAAGGGCAGTTCCACCCAGTGACTGTACACTTACATGTGTGTGTTTGTGTCTTATAGTCCGGGCCTTTGATATTTGGCACGTGCATGTTTTGGCGAGTAAGGAATGGCGAGACAAAAATGCGATTAGGTGGAAGTTATTGAACACAAAGGAAACGTCAAGATAAAAAGGAATGTGGAAAGTTTGTGGATTCTAGCCAGGGCTGAAGGGATGCTGGAACGTACACGAGAGTCTGAAGACAGAGGTAGATTCAAGTCGATTTGTGCATGAGTTTAAAAAAAAGTGTTTCCAGCCTCTTTTTAAACAAACCCACCCAGAGTTTTCCTACATTTAGCAGCAACACTTAGTTTTCTTTTAGTTTCTCTCAGCTCTTTAATAGCATCACAAATATTTTCAGTGAAGCAAATAAGTATTTTCTAGTGAACATTGGGTATATGACTGATTTGGCTCTATCGACTATATTTTGTATCTGGCGTCAACCAAATTTGGTGTTAAACTTCCTGTTTTGTACTCACATAATTAAATGGTAAATGGCTTGTACTTATGTGTTTAAATAGCACTTTTCCATCCAACTTGGATACTCAAAGTTCTTTACACTACAATCTATGCCCTCTGTTACCCATTCCAATACACATGTTCATTCGGCACTCTAAACTGTATGTCTTTGCATAGCTGACATATACAAATCATCCTATGGAAACTAATCATTGCTTTAAATCACATTCATACACTGATGGGACACACACATAGGCAGAGAGGGTTCAGGGTCTTTCCCAGGGACACTTTGACATGTGACTGAATAGCAGGGAATCAAACCCCCCAACTCTCTGATTAGAGGATTTCTCACTTAACCACACAGCCGTGTAGCTTTATCTTAAATAATTTAAAAAGTAAATGACATTTAGAAACATTCAGAAACTACACTGACAACTGGATGGTGTTAGGATTTGATGTCTATTGATTTACAAAAATGAGCAAAATCACAAAGTCTGGATGGTGTGAGATATACACTCACCGGCCACTTTATTAGGTACACCACGCTAGTAACGGGTTGGACCCCCTTTTGCCTTCAGAACTGCCTCAATTCTTCGTGGCATAGAT